TTCGCCACCCAACCCCCCCACCTCCCCCCAGACTCAAAATTTGCGTCCGGCCTGCTGGAGGCCCACGGAGCTCCATGTTTTTGTATTTTCAAGCCCGTGCTTGTGACTGCCCAGGGCCAAATTTGAATAAAGAGGGGGAGGGGGAGGGGAGCCAAGGGTCCAATTGTTCCCCACATCCGAAGTGAGTAAATTGTTCGCAACCATCCAGTGGTGTTGGGTCTTCGTTTTGAAGAGACGGTCCCCGCGTTCCTTTCCTCTTCTCCTCCTCCTCCCCCTCCTCCTCTCCGCCGCCCGCATGCGTCCCCCACACCCAGGTTGATATTTCGCCCACCCAGTACAGCGTTTCGTGGCCCCATAAGGAACCCCACCGAAGTCCCCAATGGGACCGTCCGCGTGCGTCCCCCACACCCGATTTGGCACTGCCACCCACCCAGCACAGCGCTTCGTGGCCCCATAGGGAGCTCCACCGAAGCCCCTAGTGGGACCGCCCGCGTGCGCCACCCACGCCCAATTTGGCATTTTCACTAACCCAGTCCTCCACCGAAGCCCCCAGTAGTGCCGCCCACATGCGACCCCCACATCCAATTTGCCATTTTCACCTACCCAGTACAACGCTTCGTGGCCCAATAGGGAGCCCCACCGAAGCCCCCAGTAGGACCGCCCGCATGCGTCCCCCACACCCAACTTGGCACTGTCACCCACCCAGCAAAGCGCGTCGTGGCCCCATATGGAGCTCCACCGAAGCCCCCAATGGGACCGCCCGCGCGCGTGCCCCACACACACACATTGGCATTTTCACCCACCCACTACAGCTGTTCGTGGCCCCATAGGGAGTTCCACCGAAGCCCCCAGTGGGACCGCCCGGATGCGTCCCCCACGTCCAATTTGGCACTGTCACCCACCCAGCAAAGCGCTTCGTGACCCCATAGGGAGCTCCACCGAAGCCCCCAGTGGGACCGCCCACGCGCGTCCCCCCACATCCAATTTGCCACTTCCACCCCCCCAGTACAACGTTTCGTGGCCCAATACGGAGCCCCACCGAAGCCCCCAGTGGGACCGCCCGCATGCGTCCCCCACACCCAACTTGGCATTGTCACCCACCCAGCACAGCGTTTCGCGGCTGGAGCTCCACCCCCCAACGGGACCGCCCGGATGCGTCTCCCACACTCAATTTGGCATTCTCGCCAACCCAGTACAGCGTTGCGTGGCCCCACAGGGAGCCCCACCGAAGCCCCCAGTGGGACCGCCCGCATGCGCCCCCACGCTCATTTTGGCATTTTCACCTACCCAGTACACCGTTCCGTGGCCCCTTAGGGAGCCCCACGGAAACCCCAAGTGGTACCGCCCACATGCGCCCCCCACATCCAACTCGCCCTTTCACCCACCCAATACAACGCTTCGTGGCCCAACAGTGAACCCCACCGAAGCCCCCGATGGGACCGCCCGCATGCGCCCCCCATACGCAACTTGGCATTTCACCCACCCAGTACAGCGCCCCGTGGCCCCATAAGGGGGCCCCACCGAAGCCCCCAGTGGGACCGTCCGCAGCGTCCCCCGCACCCGATCTGGCATTGCCACCCACCCAGCACAGCGCTCCGTGGCCCCATAGGGAGCCCCACCGAAGCCCCCAGTGGGACCGCCCGCATGCGTCCCCCACGTCCAATTTGGCATTTTCACCCACCCAGCAAAGCGCTTCGTGACCCCATAGGGAGCTCCACCGAAGCCCCCAGTAGGACCGCCCGCATGCGTCCCCCACAGGGAGCTCCACCGAAGCCTCCAGTGGGACCGCCCGCATGCGTCCCCCACACCCAACTTGGCATTTTCCCACCCAGTACAGCGTCCCGTGGCCCCACAGGGAGCCCCACCGAAGCCCCCAGTGGGGCCGCCTGCACGCGTCCCCCACACCGAATTTGGCATTTCCACCCACTCAGTACAACGCTTCACGGCCCCATGGGGAGCCTCACCGAAGCCCCCAGTGGGACCGCCCGCATGCGTCCCACACGCCGAATTTGGCACTTTCACCCACCCAGCACAGCGTTCCGTGGCCTCATAGGAAGCGTCACCGACGGCCCCAGTGCTACCGCCCGCATGCGTTCCCCCCTCGCCCAGCGCAGCGCTTCGTGGCCCCATAGGGAGCTTCACCGAAAAACGATTCACAATTGCGGTACCCACAACTTCATATGGTTGGGCCCTTCGCCCGGATAATTTTCTTTAGACACCCCGCGAAGGAACAAGAGAACACACCCTCTCCTCCTCTCTAATCGCACACTCATTCACTTAACCACTCACACACATCATCATTCACACTCGCCCACTCACCCACTCACTCACACACTCACGAACTCACACACACACACACACTCATTCGTCCACTCACACGCCCACTCACACACCCACACACACACACTCATCATCATCATCACCATCATCATCATCATCGTCATCATCGTCATCATCAGCAGCATCATCATCATCACTCACGCACGCACTCTATCACCCACTCACCCACTCACTCATCCACCTACCCGCCCACTCACTCATTCACTCACTCACACTCTCATCATCCTCATCACCATCGTCATGATCATCCTTATCATCATCATCATATTCACTCAATCACTCACTCATTCACTCACTCACTCGCTCATATCAGGCGGAAGCCTCGTCTGTGAGTGAATTGCGAGGACGTCTCAAGCGGGAGCACCCTCCTTATGGGGCCCGCAGCTCATGCTACTGATCCAAACGGGTCATTGGGAACCTGTAACTGCCGTCATGTTTGAAATCCCAGGGCCTGAATATGGGAGAAGTATCCGGCGGAAGCTTCGTCTGTGAGTGACATGCGAGGGTGTATCAGGCGCGAACCTCCTCTCTATGGGGCCCGCAGCTCATGTTACTAATTAGAGCGGGCCATCGGAAAGTTGTAATTGTCGCCACGTTTGGGGTCCAGGGGTCTGAATATGGAGAAAGTACGAGGCGGGAGTCTCGTCTGTGAGTAAATTGCGAAAAAGTCTCAGGCGAGAGCTCCCTCCCTATGGGGGCCGCAGATCACGTTACTAATCCGAGCGGGTCATCGAAAACTTGTAATTGTCGCTTGGGTTCCTGAGGATCGAATACGGAGGAATAGCAGGCGGGAGCCTTGTCTGTGAGTGACTTGCGATGAGGTCTCAAGTGGGAACCCCCTCCCCATGAACCCCGCATATCATGTTACTAATCCGTGCGGGTCATTGGGAACCTGTAACTGTCGTCCCTTTTGGGCTCCTGAAATCTGAATATGGGGGAAGTATCAGGCGGGGGCCTCGTCTATGAGTGATTTGCGAGGACGTCTCAGACAGAAACCCTCCCCCTAGAGAGAATGCGCCCGTGCTGGCCGAGGCGGCGACGGCGCCGAGGAAAATCGACATGCACGCTCGTGCCAGGAGGAAGGAGATGCGCACGAGGAGAACGGGCGGGGTGGCGATGAAGAGGGGGAGGAGGGGGAGGAGGAACAAACAAAAGGAGGAGGAGGAGGAAGATGAAAAGGGCGAGGAGGAGGAACGTGAGGAGGAGACGGGGGGCGGAGGAGAAGGAAAAGGAGGAGGAAGAAGAGGATCCGACCTGCAACGAGCAGGACGAGAAGGAACAGGAGAAGGAGGATGAGGAAAAGTAAGAGGAGGAGGGGGAGGAGGAGGAGGACGCAGAGGGCGGAAGGAAGGCCTCGGCCAGTTGCAGAAGAAAAGGGCGACGGGGCAAGCTAGATAGGTTCTCATGTGGGGTCCTACTGTATAACTAATTTCATTTGAATAAATGTACTGTCCCACCTGCCAGGGAGGCACCATGACTTGGCTCGGGATCGGCCTGGCTAGGACCAGCGCAGGTGTGTATGGCTGACGTCCCCTGGCTGCTCTGGCTCCTTGCACGAGCAATAGAAGACAAGACGGCATCAGCATAAAATTCCGGAGACAACACCAGGAATGTTCTTGTACCATAAGCACGACGCATTTAAACAAGACAGTCTTGACCAGAAATGGTCTAAGATCAAGTCGTGCAAACCACAAAAGGTGCCCAGATCATTCTTCAGTAGGCTTAGGTCGGGCATGTCCTCCTACAAGCGGATTTCGGAAGATAATCAAAGAAAATTCAAAAATACTCTGAAGAACGCAAGAATCGTCACCAGACTATTTTCTAACTATTATTGAATATCCCTCCCGAGGAGGGACATGCCCGCCTTCATGGTAGTCCTGTAGGCAAGCCAGGGCGCCTTACCGCTGCTTGAAGGGGGCGGGGCGAACCAGCTCGCGCGGCGGATCTCCCTAAGCGCCTCATGGCGCGCCGTAAGCGCAACATGCATCGAGAGGGCGCCCGCCGGCGGGCCGCCCGAAACCAGCTGTACGCAGCACAGTTCGTAGCCCCCCTCTCTCTACCCCCCCTCTCGACGATCCTCAAAAAACGTGTGTCATAAAGGAGCCGAGGGACACACTGATAAATAGACACGCATCCCAAGATTTTGTTATACTTTCTGGGGGCATTCGTCTTCCCCTCCGCTTCCCAAATGTTCCATGCTTTCCGGGAAATCGACGATTGTTCGTGTCTGTGTGGTTTTGTCCCTCCTGATGTTGGCGCCAAGGTGTGCGTGTCCACCCAAGCCCCTCAACACGACGCAGCCGGCGTAGAGAGAGGACCGACAGAAGCCACGTGCTGTCGCTGGATCTGATCGGGGCAGCAAAGTGTGAGGCGAACACACGTCCTGAGAGACATCCCTTCGTCCGACCCGGCTGATGCTAGAAGAAAAAGCGCCAGAAATCTAAACTTTTGGCGTTTCGCGCGGATTTCTTGGATCTGCGCTGGGCACCCCTCCCTGGCGCGCGGAGCGCGCCAGGGGCAGCGCTGGAGGCGCCGCGGGGGGATCCCAGCGCGGATCCAAGAAATCCGCGCGGAGCGCCACAAGCCTACGCTCATGGCGTCTTCTCCTCTCCGAGATGCTTCGCGCAGCTCCCCCTCTTCGGTCGGCGGGCGCCGGCGGCCTGTAGAGGTAGCGCCCGAGCACCACGCGCGCCACGCTGTCGTCCAGCGCGCACCCCTGGGGGCCCTCCTCGGCGCGGGGGCGGGGCGGCTCGCCCCCCGCAGGCCCCGAACTCCGACGCCGCGAGCTTTTATCAGCAGGCGGTGCCTCTTCGGTCCCATTCTTTAGGAACCGCTCTCGGGCTCTCGGGGCCATCAGAGAGTGCATCCGGAACGTGGGGAGATGACCCGCGGAAGCGGTCGAGACCTCTCGCGCCGCAGGTGGAGCAGGAGTCAGATCGGCGGACGACCAGGGCCCAGGCCCCGGCAAAGACACGCCCCCCCCCCCACCCCTCGCCCAAATCCAGGGTGGTCAGGCCAGACGGTGACTCGTGGGAGGCGTTCGTGCTGTGACGCCCTGAGCGTGCCGGCTTCTTGCCTCACCGCGCGCGTCCGAGCCTGAGCTGTCGTGGCCTTCTTTGAACATCCGACGGATCGTGTTTTTGTTCGCGCCGCGAGGGGGTCTTCCCAGGAGGCAGGATCAGACGGCACCAGATCGGGAGGTCGGATCGGATCGGAATGTACGTCGGATCGGCCTGCATCGGCACGGAACCGAAATCGAGTGGGATCGGCTGCGCTAAGACGCAAAAGCGCCTCTTGCAAATATCGGGCCCGATCGGATCGAGGCAACGTCGGAATCGAACTGAATCAGGCCGGCCAGGACGACGAGGAGGGGGACCGTGAGATCCGACGTCGCGAATACATGCAACATTGGAAAAAACAACAAAAAACTCTGACCAAAACCCTCGACCCCATCTTTCTGCGGCATCTCTCGAGACGGATCGACGCGCGAGGCACACGGGGCCCGAATATGGGCGGAAAAGCCAGGTGCGCAAAAATTGCTACGTCAGGATCTCAAGCGATCGGGAGGGCGAGGTGATGGAATTTGCCGGCCCAACGGGCCAAAAGGCGTGCCGGAATCTCGGGTAAGAGGCTCATTGCAATAGTTATAGTTTCTACTTCGCGCGCGCGCGTGGCGGCCCCTGGGGGGTCCCAGACGAAAGCACCCCGCAACAAGCACGGATCAAGCTCGGACGACTGGGTTCAGTGATGCTTCTCGTTATGGGCGCGGCACTCTGGGCCCCCAAGAGCGCTCATGCAGCACTCCACGGGGCCTGCAGGGGAGCCCACGAATGTTCGACACGGTCCAAGAGCATTATAAGACATCCAAGATGGTGCCTCAACGGCCCATCAGGCCACCAAACGATGCACTGGCTGGGGAAGATGCATGTGGACCCTGCCACAGGGGCCTTCGGTGGAGCTCCCTGTGGGACACGAAACGCTGTCCTGGGTGGGGGTTACGCATGCGGACGTTGCCGCTGAGGCCTTCGGTGGAGCTTCCTACGGGCCACGAAACGCTGTACTCGGTGGGGGAGTGGACCTTGCCACTGGGGCCTGCGGTGGAGCTCCCTATGGGCCACGAAACAAAGTACTCGGCGCGAGAGACGCATGCGGGAACTCCCTATGGGCCACGACATGAAGTACTGGGTGTGGGGGGGACGCATGTGGACCCTGCCACTGGGGCCTTTGGTGGAGCTCCCTATGGGCCAAGAAACGCTGCACAGGGTGGAAAATCGCATGTGGCTGCCACTGGGGCCGTCAGTAGAGCTCCCTATGGGCCATGAAACGCTGTACTTGGTGGGGGAGACGCACGTGGTCCTTGTCACTGGGGCCTAAACGCTGTGGGTGGGGGGTGACGCATGTGGACCCTGCCACTGGGGCCTTTGGTGGAGCTCCCTATGGGCCAAGAAACGCTGCACAGGGTGGAAAATCGCATGTGGCTGCCACTGGGGCCGTCAGTAGAGCTCCCTATGGGCCATGAAACGCTGTACTTGGTGGGGGAGACGCACGTGGTCCTTGTCACTGGGGCCTAAACGCTGTGGGTGGGGGGTGACGCATGTGGACCCTGCCACTGGGGCCTTTGGTGGAGCTCCCTATGGGCCAAGAAACGCTGCACAGGGTGGAAAATCGCATGTGGCTGCCACTGGGGCCTTCGGAGCTCCCTATGGGCCACGATACGCTATACTGAGAGTGGGGGAGACGCATGTGGACCCTGCCACTGGGGCCTCCCGAGGAGCTACCTATGGGCCACGATACGCTGTACTGCGTGCGGGAGACGCATGCAGACGTTGCCACTGGGGCTTTCGGTGGCGCTCCGTATGAGCCACCAAACGTTGTAATGGGCGGGGGAGACGCATGCGGACGTTGCCACTGGGACCTTCGGTGGAGCTCCCTGTGGGACACGAAACGCTGTCCTGGGTGGGGGTGACGCATGCGTTCGTTGCCGCTGAGGCCTTCGGGGGAGCTTCCTACGGGCCACGAAACGCTGTAACCCATTGCTGCGGATAATAAACCCTAAGGGATAATAAAGTTCGGGGTTTTCGGGGGGATCATAAAAAGTATGGGCATGGGGTTACTCGGTGGGGGAGTGGACCCTGCCACTGGGGCCTGCGGTGGGGATCCCTATGGACCACGAAACAAAGTACTCGGCGCGAGAGACGCATGCGGGAACTCCCTTGGGCCACGAAATGAAGTACTGGGTGTGGGGGAGACGCATGTGGACCCTGCCACTGGGGCCTTTGGTGGAGCTCCCTATGGGCCAAGAAACGCTGCACAGGGTGGAAAATCGCATGTGGCTGCCACTGGGGCCGTCAGTAGAGCTCCCTATGGGCCATGAAACGCTGTACTGGGTGTGGGGGGGACGCATGCGGACGTTGCCACTGGGGCCGTCAGTTGAGCTCCCTATGGGCCACGATACGCTGTACTGGGTGTGGGGGGGACGCATACGGACGTTGCCACTGGGGCCATCGGTGGAGCTCCCAACGGGCGGTGTGCTGGGTGCGGAAGACGCATGTGGACCCTGCCTTTGAGGCCCCTGGTGGAGCTCCCTATGGGGCCACGAAATTGTGATCTGGGTGCGGAAGATGCATGCGGACGTTGCCACTGGGGCCTTCGGTGGAGCTCCCTATGAGCCACGAGACGTTGCACTGAGTGGGAAAGACGCAGGTGGACGTTGCCACTGGGGGAGGGGGAGAAGGAGAGGATGAGGGCGCGGGGCGCTCGCTCTCTTCAAAACGAAGACCCTACACCACAGGCTGGTCGGGAAAAACTGATGAAGAACCATACACTGTCGACGGTCGATCTGCGCTAGACCCCCCTTCCTGGCGCGCGGAGCTCGCCTGGGGCGACGCCGGAAGCCCCGCCACGGGGCCCGTCGAAAGTTCATGTTTGCGCCCTCGTCTCTTCCTCTATGAGGGGGACATTTACCGGGCTGGGAAGAAAAGTTGGCAAGATTCAGGGAGATTCAACCTTCAACTTACGCGGTAATACGGATGACATGATCCTGCCTCCCAGCCCCACCCTCCCTATCCGACAATTGTTTTTCTGACTCTCGTATCAATGAGCTTCCCCCCTCTGGCGTGGAGGAGCCCGCGTCCTCGCCGCCGCCGCCCCACGCGCCGCCCGCGCCCAGCGCGCCCAGGCCCAGGGCCTGCAGGAGGCTGAACGAGCCCGGCTGGCGCTCGAGGGCCAGGCCCTGCGGCACGGAGGGGCCGGCGCCGCTCGCCGCCGCCGCCCTCGCCGACAACGACGACGACGACGACGCCGCCGACGACGCCGACGCCGACGCCGACGCGACGCCGACGCCGACGCCGACGCCGACGCCGACGCCGACGCCGACGCCGACGCCGACGACGACGGCGGCGGCGGCGGCAGCGGCGGCGGCTGCGACGGCGTCGACGACGACGACGACGATGAGGACGACGACGACGACGACATCGACAACATCTAGGTCACCCGCGAGGGCGCGAAGAGAACCGCGCGTCGCGGTCTGGGCCAGAACGGCTGCCCTCCTTCCTCTCGGAAGCTCGCGGGCGCTCCCGAGGCCCCCGGATCGGGGCGACGCAGAAAAATCGCGACGGCAAGTTCTGTTCCCAGATCTCCGACGATGTGTTTGTTTCAATCGGGGCGTAAAACTACCCTCAGGCGCAACCCACCCCGCGACCCACCCCGCGCCCGAACCCTCATTCTCGTCCGCAATTGCGGGGTGCCATGCACAACAATCCTGGCGCAAGGCCCAACCATATACAACAGTGAGTACCGCGTTGTGGGCACCGCTTCCTGTGGGGCCACGAAACGTGCGACAGGTGTGTCGAAATGTGCGCGGTTGTGCCATGCGAACGCAGCCCTGGGGCCTTCCGTGGAGCTAATTTTGGAGCCACGAAACGTGTGAGGGGTGTGCCGACATGGCCGTGGTGGTGCCATAGGAGCGCAGCCACCCTGGCCTTCGGTGGCGCTCCCTATGGGGCCACGAAACGTGTGACAGGTGTGTCGAAATGGGTGGGTGCGATGGTGTCATGCGAGCGCAGCCACTGGGGCGCTCGGTGGAGCTCCTTATGGGGCCACGAAGCGTGTGAGTGGTGTGCCCACGTGGGCGCGGTGGTGCAATGCGAGCGCAGCCACTGGGTCCTTCGGTGTAGCTCCCTGTGGGGCCACGGAACTTATCAGGGGTGTGCCGAAATGAGTGCGGTGGTGCCACGCGAGCGCAGCCACTGGAGCCCTTGGTGGGCCATGCGAGCGCAGCCTCGGGGCCCCACGAAGACGTGTGAGGGGTTTTGGTGAAATGGTTGACATGCGGAGGGCAGAGGTAGGGATGGGAGGAGGGAGGGGGAGGAGGAGAAGGAGTGAGGAGTGAGGAACGCGGGGCGCTGTCTCTTTAGAACGAAGACCCAACACGACAGGATGGTTGGGAACAATTACTCCGACGAAGGACTCCGCATGCTAATCTCAGTGCGCATGAGACTCACCATCATCAACGATCAACGATGGCGACGACGCCAGGAGGCAAGAATACCTGGATGTGACCTGTGGGACCTCTGAGACCTATGGAGCCCGTGGGCTGTGCCACCAGCAGGGCTTGTCGGACCTGTACAAGTGTGGGACTTGTGAGTCCTGCGGGACTTGCGGGCCCTGTGGGACCTGTCGACTTGCGGGCCCTGTGGGGCCACTGAGAGCCGTCGAACTTGTGGGCCCTGTGGGACCTATTAGACCTGTGGGATCAACGACCATGCTAGCAAGCTGGCATTCGAGGCAGCCCAGTGGCGGAGAGTGCCAGACCATCTCGCTCGCCTGTGGGGCTTGCGGGCACTGTGGGGACACTGAGAGCCGTTGAACTGATGGTCCCTGTGGGGCCTGTGGGACCTGTGGGACCTTTGCGGCCTGTGGGGCTTGTGGGGCTAGTGGTCCCTGTGGGACCTGTGGGATCTGTGGGCCCTGCGGGCCCTGAGGGACCTATGGGAACCTTGGAACTAATGGGGCCGGTGGTGCCTGTGGGGCCTGTGAGACTTGTGGGGCACGTCGGACTTGTACGACGTGTAGGGCTTGTTGGACATGTGGGGCATGTGGGGCCTGCGGAACCTGAAAGGCCTGTGGGATCTGTGGGACCTGCGGGCCCTGATGGAAGTGCGGGACCTGTGGGACCCCAGGAACTTGTGGGGCCTGCGGCACCTGTAGGACATGTGAGGCCCGTGGAACCTTTGGGACCTGTACGACCTGCGGGGCCTGTGCGACATGTGGAGCCTGCGGGACCTGTAAGGCCTGTGGGACCTGTGGGACCAGTGTGACCTGTGGGACCTATGGAACCTGCGTCCAGTGAGACGCGTGAGACTTGTGGGGCCTGTGAAACTTGTGAGCGCGTTGGGGCAAGAGGGGTATGCGGGACCTGTGGGACCTGTGGGGGGGGGGCCTGTGAGACCAGGGGGATCTGTGTCACCTGTGCGCCCTGTGGGGTCTATGGGACTCGGGGAGCCCCCGATCGACACCCTCGCAATTCAATCACAGACGAGGCCTCCGCTCGACACGTCCTCACGATTTGCCTCCTGGGAGTGCTCAAGTGCTATGCCTGCAACAGTACGCCGATGCCCGCCTCGGGTTACATGAAGACGGGCCCCACATGGAGGGGGCTCCCGCTCCAGGCTTCGTCGCGATTCACTCGCAGACAACGCCCCAGCTCGAAACATCCTCACGATTTGCCCAGATGGGGTGCTCGTATGCTATGCCTTCTTCAGTCTGCAGATGACCGCCTGGGATTACAAACATCAAGCGGGGACCCCATAGGGACGGAACTCCTGCTCGAGACTTCCTCACTATCACTCACAGATGAGGCTCCCGCTCGAGACATCCTCTCAATTCGCCTCCGAGGGGTGCTCGAGTGCTCCGGCTGCTGCGGTATGCCGATGACCACCTAGAATTACAAACATGAGTTAGTGATCCGAGAAGAACCCCACTCAAGCTTCCATAGCTAGTCACTCATATATATATATATATATATATATATATATATATATGAGGCTCCCGCTGGAGACATCCTCACGATTCGCCTCCTCAGGGTGCTCAAGTGCTACGCCTGCTGCGGTTCCCGCTCGAGACTTCCTCGCTATTCACTCACGGATGAGGCTCCCGCTCGAGACATCCTCACGACTCGCCTGGTAGGGGTGCTCACGTGTTACGCCTGCTACGACAAAACAGGAAACGCGGACCCCATGGGGATGGGCCCCCCGCCTGAGACTTCCACGCTGTTCACGTACAGACGAGGCTCCCGCTCCAGACATCCTCACTGTTCGTCTCCTAATGGTGCGCACGTGCCATGCTTCCTACGGTATGCCGACAACCGCCTAGGATTACCTCCAAATAGTGGGGACCCCAAGATTAGGGGCTCCTGCTCAAGAATCTCTGCGATTCACTCACAGGCGGGGTCCCAGCCCGAGACATCCTCAAGAGTTGCCCCTTTTGGGATGCTCAAGTGCGATGCCTGCTACGCTATGCCGATGGCCGCCTGGGATTACAAACATGAAACGGGGACAACATGAGAACTTCAAAGCGAAGTGGGAGGAGCATATCCCGAAGAAGCCGCATCTGATGGTCTAGAAAGCGTAGAGTTAGGGCTGTGATTCCGGTCGCGCGAGCCAGGAGACTCATCTTCGGTATGGCGATATATGGCGATGGTTGTCCACGAGCTGCTTCAGGGTGTTCTCATGTTGGCGGCAATCAGCTCGATTTTGACGAGACGAGAGGCACGAGCAGAGAGACCCCTCGCCTCAGCGAAGGCCGAACCACTGTCCTCCTCGTAGGCGCCGATTTGTGCTTCGAGGATGCCGATGCGGGCAGCAGCGTCATTAACGTCCTCGTGCAGGCCATCGACACCAGACTTGGCCTCACGCACGAACTTAAGCATCCGCAGGCCAATGGAGTTGACAGTGGCCACGAGCATACGCGCCCACGCTGGCGCATCCTCGTGAGACCTTGGGGAGAGGAGAGGACTACAGGTAAGCTGCCGTGCGACAAAAGAGGAGGCCCGGTGCCTCTCCAAGCAGCTCGAGCAATTCTCTTGGCTGCGCGCAAGCTCGAAGCGCCAGGCAGCAGGTTTCGAGTTTGCGCCAAAATGGCTACGGATGATTATGACGATA